CAGAAAAGAGCGTCTAAACCGAAAATGACTTCTATAGGACATTATTGTAACAAATAATTAAACTCAAAATAATAAAATACTTCAAAATCATATATCATTATTAAGTTATTGATTAGAACAAAACCTAACAACTACTTCCAGAAATTCACCTATTACTCCATTTATTAATGTAATTATATATTTTTATTACAGGTGAAATTGGTAATTTATATAAGCGACTTCGTGGGGTGGGATCGAAACGTTTTACAAAATTATTTATGGTTTGGGAGTGATTAATTATAATTATTAACTCTCAGACTTGATTGTGTTTTGTTATCTTTTCAATATTTATAATTTAAAAACGTAAACAAATTTTAATGGAAAAGCACTTGCTTAGCAAAAAACGAGCGATGTGACGTGGCGTGTTAGTCATTACGGGCCGTCATACTCGGAACAGGCACACATTTTTGTGAGCTCATTAAAATTACATTACAACTCTTATTTAAACAGCAAACAACTAAACGGAGATCGTTAATGCGCTGCGCCGCGAGAATTTTATGGACATTCCCGTCCATTAAGACTACACAGAATAAAAAAAAAAATATATTCAGTCGAGGTATAAAGTGGATATTCAGTGTTTTTAATAAGTGTAGACCACATGTGTTGCGTGTTACACATGGAGGGATTGAGAGTTCAGATTAATAAATTAAATAGTTTTATTGAGAGTGTTTGTTATTTAGTGCTTAGAACAGACAATAGGTATTTTTTATGTATTTAAAATTATGTTGAAAACATAATCTCCATGAATGCGTCTTTTATATATCTTATTATTCATTAACATTAGACGCGGCTCGATTTATAAATTGCATTTAAAATAAACGAATAGCGCGGTTGTATGTCATTGATAAAATTGGCATAAATCTGATCTGTATCTAATTTAAATTTTAATGAAGTTACTAAAGTTAAAGCCTTGATCATTTTAAAATGAGTTACATCAATTAATCTTTTATATAAATCACTTCTGATATGATAAATTAAAAAAAAAAGACTGTCTTGATAATAATATAAGCCATGGAATCGATTTTAATAACATTAGTTAAAAATTGGTGATGAGAGCTTGTGCGGAAGTTCGTCATTGTCAAAGATAAAACTATGAAACTTTGTATCAGTATCATTGTTTATATTTATAAATAACTTAGGTTCCCCCTAATTTATACTAACACATTTAAGAAATAAAGTTTCTAACTTTATTTGTATATAGGGGGTAATCATCGGATTATTTCATCTATCACTTACAGGAATCTACATCTTGGAAAAACAGTTCTATAATATAAAGAATCGTATTTTATTAAATAATAAGAATTTGATCATTATAAAATCAGTAATAGTAAAAAAAAACCTATTATATTAATAGTAACATAGTGAGAAACACTGTCGTCAATTGATTAAATCCTCAGGACGTCAAAATAAAACTTGTAATTTACTTATATTTTAATTGTTTATAGTACTTACTTTATGTTAGTTGTCGTCTATTTTAAAATCAGTAATACTTATTATTCCTAAGACAATAAAATCACAAAAGAAAAACAAAAGTCGTATCCAAATATATTTGCTTTGTGTTTGTATTAATAATATATTTTTAAACATTTAAATACCATAGTTGTCATGTCTTGCTTTTAGTTCGTCTAGACACTATTAACGTGCTTAAGAAACACGTCATTAATTAACTAAACCCTCACCGCATTAATTAACTAAATATAAATATAAAAGTATGACAGTATTATACTCAAATGTCTAAAGAGCATTTAATTGATTCGTAATAAATACGACGTATTGTATAATCTGCAAATGTCCCAAAAATTATACGTCGTATTTATTAGGATTTTTAATAAATAATGGGTTATTTAGCAGAAATAATGTAAGATTTTGAAATAATATTGTTATGTTACGGATTAGAGTATTAGCGTAGCATAACCCAAATTTCTATTCTTTATTTCGCTTATTCTTATGCATTTAATATTTATGGTAGAACTCTGCATGTCATAATGTTATTTTGATAACTTTAGATTCGGATATTTTATTTTAAACAAAATCGTTTGAAAACGTAAGGCGTTCTATTGCAGTAAGTTTTCTGTCACAATCATATTTTTACATTCATTTCTTTAAAAAAAAAACTCTGTATATTCATAGAGACGATGTAAGTAACTCGTTTGCATTGTTTTAATATAGCTTGGAGATAGCTTGTATATAGCACTTCACGAGCGTTGCCGTGGAATGCTCTTCCGTCGTCTGGCTCGTTTTTTGTATTACTTGCAGTTCTTACCTTACTTAAATTACCCAATGTTAGAATTAAGTCCGCCCTTTATTGATTTATATTACAAAAATAAAGATTAAACATTATAACCCCACTTTTTCCGTCAGGGGTTAAAATTAAGTTAAGTATTTGTACATGTGATTTGATTATGCCAAATAATTTTACTACTAGATAGAGAAAACATTTTTTGGATAGAAAAAGATATGGGTTTTGATCAACAATAATCACCGGGGATTTTGAGATAAATAACAGCAAACAATGTATTTATATTATACAAATAGAAATAAATATATATTTTGCTTTCATCTGTGTGTAGTGAACGAAATATTAGTCCAAAATAGCCTCTGCATTGGACATAAATTTTTGGCTGCAACCACTGCTTTTTATGTTAATTATAGGTGACGACAGAGGATAACTGTTGTCAAATATATTTTCTAAAATTATGATGATTGAAATAAAGTGACAAATTATTTTAAAAATACTGTTGTTTACAAAGCACTGCATTCATTTTAAGCGAGCGCTTTATAATCAGATTTTGGTTATCTTTTTGCTTCTAGGTTCTACTAATATCAGTGCTTTTTGTGCAATATCATTCTTAAGGACTTAGCTATAATGAATAAAAATGCTTTCATTCTAATTATGATGATATATATTCATAGATTTCGTTGATGTCTTTTGTAATAATTTATTCACTTTCATAAAAAATCTTTTATCAAACGAAATAAAACATCAAACAATTATTGTATTTTACTTTTCGTTTTAAGGATAGGATTGTAAGGAAATAAGGAATGTTGAATTAAAGAAAGGAACGTAGTCAATCAAACTTCATATTTGTAATCATTAAATAAATATATTTATTTACATAGTAACGGCGAAATGAAATAATTCTGTCGATGTCAATGAAAACTCGAAATCTCGTCTTCTCATTACAGTATTTAATAAGACTGACATTTTAACTCTAGCCGATATTTCTAACAAACGACAGTTCAAATTTTTACATAAATACAATCTTTTATCGTAGAAATCTTCGTTCCACATAAGTTATTAAGTCTTCAAAAAATTTTAGCGTTTATCTACATATTTTCAATAGCTGAACCGATCCGACAAATTTAGTATAGTCGGAGTTATTTTACAGATAGTGGTAAGTAACCAAACATGGTATAGTATCCCTAAAATGGAATACTGAAATTAGTTATTAAATTATTCTTGATGAAATAAGCCAAGCTAATTTGTTAACCGATTACGAATTTCCTGGACTAATTCAAAATTTAGATTTTTTAACCCTATAAGGAATAATTTAACAAGAAATTTAAATATACCATATTAGGGGTATATTCCATATTCTATTACTTTCCTCTATTATAGGAATTATTTTACAGATATATCGCGATCAACATTCACTGAAGCTGTGGCAGAAAACAAACTTACAAATGTCTTAACAGTTTAAAACTTACACAAAGGTACTTAACTAACCATTGCACCACTCTGAGTACCAGATAATTATACCACTAATTTATCTACATTCGTAGCTCATGTGTTTATTTAACCATAAAATTCCATGACGGAAACTTATCTTTGGTAAAGAAAATAACATTAATATAATTAACCAATCATAAAAAAATAATCTAAATTAAGAAATGATCCTCAAAAACTTCATACCTTGTATGATAACAATATTTAGTTTTTTTTTTAATGTACACATAATTCCATAACAATGAGATCGTTTTCTTTCAACTGTTTAGCTTAGTTCCTGGAGTTGAATCGTTGTATGATAAAATTTATCGACTATCCGAGTCGAAAACTATTCTTATTATAAAAAAAAAATCGTAACCCGGAATAGCATTAGTTCATAGAGCCAGCCGCGATACATCGACATGCACTAATTGAGAGTAAGTTACAGATAGAATAAAAACATGCGCATGTCGATGACTTTGCTTCATTGAAGAATTTGGGGTGTGGGTCGAGTTGGCAAAGCGCTAGACTTGTATAATACGGTACGAATGAGAGCGCGCGTCCTACACGCGACACCACTATCTTAACATGTAAACAAGAGCTCAAATCGTATACATAATGGAAATATCGTGTTCTGACAACGTTATCGCGACTCATCCCGGACACTTTGTAAAGTGGCCACACAACCACGGCTCGCCTTCAAGCCTAATGTACGCTCTTGCTGTGCTTATAAAATATTCTCACCGAGCGAGACGCTCTGTCTTTGCTTTTAGCCGGTATTACACTAATAATGCGAAACACTTTTTGTCTTTGCAATAAACTATTATGGTCGACGATTTGCAAGTGATATCTAGAAATCATTATAAAAATAAAATGTTATAAAAACTATAATCTAAGTGATTGCTGGTGTGGTGGCTAGTTTTTGAAGATGCGATCAGAACGTTCTAATGTCTGCATGCGTAGAGACTTCGCCGGTTTTTAGAAGTGCGTCCCGCTGCCGAACTTTCTACATGCGGCCTTAGTATCTCGCCAACACTCAGTGGGGTTTCACCTGTGATGAAAATATAGATGGTCATGAAAAATATTGTCTGATTTATCATAAACTATATTGTTTCACTTAGAAACTAGAAATTATAATAAAATAAGTAATTTTGAAATTCACAAAGCAGTTCTTAATTGAAGTTATTGTTGTTATGAGTTTATGTTATGATTAACAAAGACATACCGAGGCGAGAAGTCGGCGCGGCATCGTCGGTCATCGCGCAGCATCGCATACATCGGGGTCGGGTGGGCTGCCATATCCGCTAGACGCATCATCAGCGCCCGCGCAACCACCACCGTCTTTGTCCACTAATGCTGCCCCCGCTCCGGCCGCTACAGCTCCGCAACCTCCAGCTCCACCCACGTACGCACCACTAGGCGACTACCAAATAAATATAATAAACATTAATAAAATCATAAAATACTTTTAAATACACCCTATCAACTTGTCAATTTTCCAACAGTAGATCGGGAGTGCAATCAAAAAGTCGATTAGAAATGTCGTGCGGCTGAATGGGTTTCCTCCACTCGCGCGACTCATAAAATGAAATAGATTCCCCCACATTCGCATTCCGACAAGCGTTCGTACGAGAAAGATTAATGATCACAAAAGAAACATAATAAAGTGAAGATAGAATCTCCCACTAACAGTGTCCTTGTGGGAGTTATTTACTCCGCCGAGTCGACTTTTTCACGTGCCTTTTATTTGAGATGGGAATGTTTAGAAAAAGGTCTTTCCAAATGAGGACATAAAATTGGACGTTATTGCTGCAAAGTTATACCACCACAAAGGTAATTTGCTACGAATAAATGCAGACCAAACCAAGCGTACATAATTGATGCGTAGTGAATCGGTAAATATTATGAACCATGCATTTAATACATAGGTATGTAGGTAGATATGTGTATATGGCTATTAAGTTAATTATTACTGAGACTATGCTACTTTAGTTGCATAACTATATAAGCCAGACACCTTTAGGCACGTCAGTGATTCACACGGTGGAATCGCAATGTTGTGGGAATCAATATCACAATGACAAATATATATATCTTAGTACATATTGGAATATTACTTCAAAAAACTTAAAATTTCAATTTAGGTTTTTATATTAAAATATTAGGTTTTTATTTCAATTAGGAGGCATATACATATCAAGTTTATAAAAATATAAATCCAATTCCATAATTGCGGCTATTCACAGAATCTATTCATATAATAGTTACCGGCAGTCTAGACATGATCGAAATAACTTGCCATTTGTTATTTGTATATAAGATAGCAGTAAAAATATTGGTTATCTATAGAAAGCAATTCATTATGTAGTTGTAATTATATTTCATGCCTAATTTCATTTATTATTGACGAAATCCAATCGGGTATGTGCCACAATCTTTTGTGGTTTTAATAAATATCACGCAAGATAAGTACATTATTAAGATTCCAAGATGAGTAGCTAGACAACCCGTATTATTGAGTATCTCAGACAACAAAGTACCACAACACCCAGACCCGAGACAATAGAGAAAAGGCCATTTTCTAAAGTGAAGCGAACCCGACCGGGAATCAAATCAGGCCCTCAGAGATGGCGACACCACTCGGCTATGGAGTATATTTGTATTGTTAATCTAATTGATATTTTAATTATTTAAAACTTATGAAAACTTTAAAATTATTATTATTATTATTCACCTGTAGTCCACTGACTTGCCGTCGGATATGAGCTAGTCCACTTGGATTGGCAGCCATACTGGCAAATACTAATCTTTCTTCATAGTCGTACTCGCAAAGGATCTTATTATCACACAGGTAGAATCTATCTCCCACGCAGAACCTGCATAATCATTATATATTTTAATTTGAATGATTAAAGCATATACAGTGTTATTAATAAACAAACTTTAGTGTTAGAGTAAATTAACGCTGAGACTGCACTTAGTATTTATTATTCAAAATTCATATTATTGAACAGAGACTTAGCAAAGGTTAACCTAGTACGAGGTTCTAAGGAAGTAATAATTATTCCTAGAAGGTGGTAGGTGTGCTTATTATCTGTATAATGTGAATTTGGATTACTACTAAAATTGCAAATTTAGCTTCAATTTACTCTCTATGCTAAACCTTGTAGAATGTTACTATTAGGCAAGGTTTCATCCTAATCATCAACTTATTATTGTCCCAACTGAGGGCACACGTTTTCCTTATTGGATGGAGTCAAATATGTAGAGCGAGCTTTATAACCCACCACGTAGACTCAGTGCGGATTGACGGGTGTTAATTACTGCAGATGCAGCTGCGACCAGCGACTTAACGTGCCTTCCGAAGCGTAAAGAAGAAGAGCTAGAGATAATAAACTTTTGAATACCCATACTAGGATTGACCCTTGTAAAAGTTACATAACCTACGCATCGTAGACTCAGCGCAATAACTCCTCAATTAATTAAAAATAATGTCATTATTAATCAGAGTTTAGCATTAATAAATTTTACACGAAAGTTGCACTTTGTATTACACAGTCAAACTTTACATTATTTAACAAAGATTAAGCAAATGTGTTTACGATGGTATTATAGTAGTAAAATTATCACCTAAAAGACGTAGGTTTGCTAAATTTCAGTTTTCTTCTTATTGCGCCCGGAATTGTGATAAAGACTAATGACGATGACTGAATTATGCGGCAAAATATTTTTTAAATAATCACCAACACTATTGTTGTTAAAGTACTGCATAATTACTTAAGCTACAAAGTGCCAATAATAATAAATTTTTCCTATAAAAAGTGTGTAATGAAATTGTCTGATCTTCTTGGCTGAAACAAGTTTTTGTAGTTTTTGGCTGAATGTAGTTTTCTCATTTTCAATCATAGCTCATTTGAACTTCATTTATTTGTACAGTTAACATCACGTCAGGTTATACAAAACTGTCAAATTTCCCAACTCGATTTTATACCTTAATACATTGGGGGTAAACATCAAAATTCTTTGCGGACATTTAACACGGTAATCTGACGTGCAGTCGTGTACCTACACAAAACCAATTGTAATTTAGTGACTAACGGTGTACGTGCCCTCTTAATTACCTATATATAATTGTAACTAAGTGTTTCACTCCAGCATAAAAACCTTGTTTATTAATAACACTGATAGAAAGCAGAAAGAACGTCCCAAATTACCTGTGATTGCATTGTTGACAGGCGAAACATTCTAAGTGGTAAACGAAACTCTTGGCTCGCATAACCATTTCGAAGGCGGGAATGACTTTGTTGCACGCGACACAGTTGCCTGTGGCACCAAATAACCTGTTAAAAAATAACAGGGCTCTTAAATGTTAAATACATATTATGTGTAACAACAACATCGTATAAAGACTCATTTGAAGTCGTTACTATAAGTGATTCTGGCAACTGAACTATAATGCTGTAATCATTATGAGAATCGTGAAGATATTAAAAATGAAAAGCAGTGCCTGGTCGCCCGCAGGTTAAATTAAGTAAATGTTGGATAATATTACCCTTTTCAAAATATTACGTAATAATGGATTACTCGATATTTTGTTTACTGAACATGAATATACTTTGGAAACACAACGATGAATTTTCAAATTATTTCCTTACTCAACAGTGAGTTTATTTTTATAAATTATGAATAGTGCTAATTGTATTATAAAATTAACTTAACTTTGTTTCAATAAAGAGTGTAAATGAGGTTTGTTTCGATATAAATTAAAAATATAAGCACAGAAGAAACGTTAAAATTAAAAGTATGATGAATCATGACCCCAGAGAATGTAGCCTGTATTTCTAATTAGATTCTTATGATTAAATTCATCTCGACTGAGATTTTTTATTATTATTATTATATTAACTTCCATTCAAAAATCAAAATAAAAAACATCACATGTTATCTCTTATGCCACAAATATAACAAAAAGTGCACTATAATAACTACCACATTCTTCCCTCAAACCTTTAAAAAAGAGGTTGTAGCAAAAATGTGGAAGAGCATTCTAAAGCTTGATATATCAGTGTGTAGATGTATAACAAGATTGAGTTCACCATCTATTAGCATGATTTTAATGCTATAGATTTGAATGTTTATAAATGTTTTTTCACCTAAGGTAGTCTCTCTTGCAGAGCATGAGGTCCGCTTTGTAATAAAGCTTGGACCCGACTTCACCTAGGCGACAGTCGCAGCAGCCGCATTTCAGGCAGTCTTCGTGCCAGAAACGCTCCATGGCTTTCAGCAGGAACCTCTCGGTGATGACTTTGCCGCACTGTGCGCACAGCCTGGCGCTCCCCGTGTTAGTAGATACGCTGCTGTTGAGTCCATATTTACTCTCATCTTGTTGACCTGTTACAGAAAAGGTTAAAAATTAGAATATTAAATTCTGAACAAAGTTTTTGATATCAGTTTAGTAACATTTTCTTCTCACTACAAAATGTTTATAATACTTATAATTAGGTAACGACCAAAAACTAACCGATCTATTGTGAAAAAGTACTTCATATTAAATTATATACCCGTGACAAAAAAGAGCCACCGATTGCCGCGGATCTAACTCAAGTAATGTGCACTTACTGTATATATCTCTGGAGAAGAGAAACTAACAAAGGGAAATAAATATATGAGAATTAGATTGGTGAATTTAAGACTGTCCTGTATTGGATCGTATATCTGAAGAGGTACTGAAAGGTTGGTGCTCCTGTGTTTATTAAAAGCGTCAATCTGTATGTCCGCATAGTTGCATTCACACTATGCGGATACTTCTCAGATGCAATCATTTCATCTACATGACTCTACTTTAGACGATTACCCGTAAATTAACTTTCATTGAACAAAAGATTTTACCAAGACTATTGAATTCCTCATGGATTTGTTACTTTCGCTGTTAAAAAAAAGTAAGTTTTCTATTTTTAAGATTAGTTAAAACAACAATAAAAAAAATAAAAGATTCAACTTAATCATATATTCATCTATATTTTATTCAAAAAAATTAAAAGTTGTGATATTCGGTAAACGGGTGAATTCTCAGCCAATTTTTTTTCAAACGAAAATAAAAAGCATTTACTAAATAACCTCCATTATTTTAGTTGCCTTTTGAGTGCAGTACATATTTTTTTACAATTATAAAAACAAAAGTATTTTTACATCCTTTATAATCTTCGTATAAGTATGAGAGGATATAATCGTAAACTCCGTTTCTGTCATCAGTTTGATATTTATTTAATAACACCTATAATTTTTCACGTAAACACAAAATTGTTACGAGTTCCGTTTTAATGTGAATGTAAATTTTTTACCCCGAAGCGATCATTAACAAACTGTCAAAGTGTTGATGTAATAAAGTCATAATTTTTTCGGCGAAATTTTTCATTAACTTTGCTTTCTACCAAAATGAGCGGTGCAGTTAAGTTCAGTCAATGATGTTTTTCGTTCTGGCACCGAATGGTACCAATAATAATGAGCACGGTAATAAGTACAACATTTTAATAGTCAGATGGTTACGCAACGCAAACAATATATTTCTTTGAGCATTGTTAACGATATAGAAAGAGTATAGGGTATTAACTGTACCAATTATATTAGAAAAACAGATTTAAAACATGGCACTGCGTAACGAAATTCCTCGTCGATTCCAATTAAAATGTGTTGTTTCATATGATTAGAAAGAAACGCATTATGAACACCCGATGTCATCGCGTGTTCATACAATTTTTGCGACCAGCGGAGTTGATTTCCGGTATATTTACGAATGTCTGTGAACAACTATGCTTTGCTAGATCGATAGCATTAATTTATATTTTGACACCTTCGTAATATTTTTACAAAGTATTAAAGAAATAATCACATTATTTAAAAAAAAAAACTGTAAATAACCGTCTATTCGGGTAGCTTGTTATCGTTCAAAAGGATCAATTTTTTATTATAATAACTTATTTGTTGTGTTTCAGTCTTAGTTAATTTGAATAAAATTATGGACATCCATAACGAATTCTGCTACACTAGGTCTCTACAAATGGGTAATTGTTTGTAATACGCGTCTCATTACAGAATTAAGTCGGAGTTGATTGTTTTCTAGTGCATAATTGCGGTCAATTAATTCGAGCAGGCTCAGGCCGCGTGACACTCAGCCGTTTACAAAGCGACGGCATGTACGCAAACGCATTTTTCTCACAAAGGAAGTTGCGCAACCATGTGTGATTAATAAGTTCATTAAAATTATTATAATTAAACTCGCTGGATATTAAATGTCAGTAAACTTGATTATCGACATTTACTGCCATAAATGTACATAACTATATACGTCGAAAGTTCAAGAAATATGTTAGTAAGCTACTGTATATTATTATGATATTGCATATAATTAAAGAAACGATAGTTTTTTCCTGTTATGACTCGATTGTGATGTTATATTTCTCAAGTTTAATAGCGCACAGTAAATAGAAATCAATCAGTTTCAATTTATAGTGTCCATAATAATGCATACGTCAAACCAATCAAGGATCCAATTGAGGGGGTAACTAGGTGGACATAAAGCAATCGATCACTTGCGCATCGGCCGACGCCGATACATCTCGTTTATTGGAGTCGACGTCGCGACAATAAAGTTAATTGGACTATATTAATGACGGTTCGTTAATAATAAAATAATAAAGATGACGTACGGCGTCCGGGCGTCGCAATTCGCAATTAGTACGCTGCAGGGATCTAACAAGCGCCCGCCCACGGTCCCGCCGCCGGCTCCCAACAACGTGTGTAACCATCATAAATAAAACAACGATACTATCATTAACGTATCTCCTTCCACACAAAAGTAGTTCAACAGAATGATCAGTAGACCAATTCTACTAATCTTTACGTAATAAATGCATTCAATAGAATATCAAATACTTACAGTTTGCCATTGTACAATGAAAGTCCAATATTATTACATATCTGTCACCGTAGATTTGTGAAGAAGACATAGAACTAATAAAATTGGACTTCCGATAGATAGAAAAAAAATTGTCAAGATTCTATTGAGATGCGTTTATTATGAAATAATTAACACAATTGACAACAGGATTATGGTCAATGATGTGTTTATGCGTATAATTTAATTAATTCAAAGCAGTTTGTGGCTAATGTTCTCGGAACGTATGCATAGTCGCGGCGAGATTCTTGCAGATAAAAAAAAACCCACTCGTTTTACCCGCAACAATTCAAGAATCACTGTGTTTTTCCGCAGAATGCCGCACGAAGGCAATGTTAAGGCGTGCGGTTGCTGGCGTGTTTTGTCCATTTCAGGACGTGCATGTTGTTAATGCTGTAATTATGGAGCGACCGCGAGTCGCTCTAATGGCCGGATCGATTATATCGATTCACAGAGCTGTCCAGCCGAGAGCGCTTGCGACGCGCCGCTACAGACCCATTTACGGATTAAAACTTTTTTGTAAATGTTATTTTACCTACTTACGATATAAATCTTGTATAAAGTAAGACTTCTTACGAAATATAGTTTTGTACACCTGCTGATAAAAATAATAGAAGCACGGTTAATATCGCACAGTGTACATCAATATTCGGGTGGTGGCAATTCGTATTATTTCCGTTTTATTACTGCCGAGCCGAGAATTTGATAGAGACTTGGCTAGTGAACCGAGCCCGCAGTTTAATTTCGCTAACACAGCCGATCGGCCGTCGCCAACGTATTAAATGCAACGAAATAAAAGAAACCCTGAAACGTATGGGATGTAATTTATAGGTGTAACAATAATCTGCGATAGTATTGAAATTTAACTCTATCCGACTTATTATAAATCGAGGACTAAAGAAAATAATTATACTTAGTTTAAACCATTGGCTGTCTAAAGCAAATAAATGACGACAGAAGAGAAAACGTCCATTGAGATGTGTTAACTTGCTAAAGTTAATTCTCGTTTTATGTGGTTAGCTTCGCACGCGCTTGTCTCATAGACCGCTCCAACTCAAAATTAATTTTCTAATTTCACCGTGAAATTACTTCTAAATACTGACATCTAATTGAAATCTGTAATGGCCTCTGTTCCGAAACCTTTCTTAGTTTAGTGTAGCGTACTCATTTTCGAGTTTCAAATATTCATGTGTGGGATCTGCGTTCACACATTACTGAAACTCGCCCACGCTGTTTATTGATGGCTTTAATACATACAAATAATAACAGCCAACATTCCCTAGAATATAATATGTGGATACCAGAAAAATATGTTAGGTAGCAAAAAATATGACAAATTCTATTAATTTCTTGAATTTTTAATTCCTTACTTATATATGTATACATATTTTTTTATCACTAATATAATACAAGTTTGTGAAGATGGCTGTATTAAATTTACGTAGGTATATTTGTAACTATTACAAACGAAAGTACTGAACGGATTTTGATGAAATACACGGATTCTAAGCCTGAATTAACATATAGGGTACTTTTATACGCTGACAGAAAGCTAGTGGAAATATACATATCTGTTTCAAACAACTTTATTATTTATAGTCAATATGTTATTTATGTAAATGTCATTACTTATGATAAAGAGCTGGTAAGATTCTTTCGCTTGTTCTTTTTGTCAGCTAAAAGACGTCCTGAAGTGGTAGGGGAAACATTTTTTTTGGACGATTCAAAACTGCTTGGAACAAGCTTACTTGAATAAAGATATTTTCATTTCATTTCATATTTCTCATAATTCCGTGCACACTACTTATTTAACGGTCTAAAGAGCGCCTAGATTGATTTTGTTTACTTTTTAACGTTTCAATGCAAATTAATACGCAGTAAAAAAAATATGGTAATATTTCCTTTATATTTAGGCATTTTTTATTTACTCTTATTTCGACTTACAAAGCTAGATACTATCAAAAACAGTAAGTTTACAACATCACCACATGATGAAATGGATTATAACCTTCTAGATGTAAGTACGAAATGCATTTTAAAATTTAAAATTATTATAGCTCAAACATAAATTATTTAAATCTCGCAAAAATTTTAATGAAATCATGCCATTCTTCTTAAGACCCAAAACAGATTTTATTCATTCATTTTATAATTAAAAATCATATCATATTTGTCAGATTAATATTAATATATTCCATTGTGATATTTTTTTTGTATAAACTGTTCATGTTTGAGGCTAAATGGGATTATGTATTTATGCTTAAAAAAAGGGCAGAAATATTTTAAGTTGCACATGCAGAACCTCCTTATAGTTTTTTTATTTATTTCTTAATATTCCACAGAGCGGGTTCTATGCAATGAGAGTTTTGATTAGCCAAGTCATAATATGACCTGCTTTTTTACTTTTAGATTAACTTTTTTTAAATTTTGGCAGCCGTGAAATAAATTGCATTTTTTTTTGTTTTTTATTCATGGCCAAGGGTCTCTTGATCTCTTGCTTGATATCTTTTTTTTGTTAACGCTGAGGAATCGCTTCAAACATGGGCTCTCCAGAAACTCGGTTAAAGTATGGTTGAGTTAGATAAAACTCGCTGCGGAATACCCTCATAGGATCGGGGATCAGCTTGGGGCACTAGAGGTTCGTGGACCAAAAAAGGTTAAGAAGATCGAGATTTAAGATGTAAGTCTAGATTTCATTGGTCAGTCTTTGTTTTATTGACCAGTGACATAAGTTTGCAGAAGTCACCTGCGCTCTGCGTGAAGACCCCGTCGCCCAGTGTAACTGATCTATAAGCATATGGCGGCATACGTAATTCCTGTGATTCAATTAAATGCTGGGTTATTGTAATGAGCCCACATGCGGCCGCAGCGATCGTTCCGTGCAATTTACAAACGTTCATTGCATTTCGCAATTAACTCGCCCTCCGCATATGCTAACATAACGTATCTACATTGACTATTCATCATTCGGCTTACTATTTGCATCGAAATATCGGTTTTATTAATAAATGAGTAATACTAGTGGTATTAATCAAATTAAACATGCTATTGGACCTCATTTCAATGCGGAAGTTAGAATTAAAAGTAGAAATATGCGATCATAATCATAATAATTAATCGTTATTATAATCTATTTATTTCTTTAAGATTGTTTGATAATCAATAACAAAAATATTTAAATTAATAGCAGTGTAATGATTTTCATTACAGTGCATGTAGTGTTTTTATGTTTAAAAAAAATAGGACTCTGCACTTTTTCTCCGTTAAAACTTTATTTGTGCCAAATTTCAAATTCCCACGGCCGCGTTATATTTGTAAAGAAGTGTCAAAAAAAATTGTTTCACGTATATACTTTATATGATATTCACTGGTATTGTTGTGAGATGTAACTTTGATTTGTTACATCTCTAACTCTATCTGGGTTGCTTGCATAAATATGAAAGAATTTTTAATTAAGATTGCGTTACAAGATCGTGTAAAATGAAAGCTAATGGTTCTAATTAAGCAACTCAATACGAGCATGCTCGGAAATTTGTTACGGAATTTAACTAATAAAGATGAAACATCCGAGTTCTAATTATTTTATATAACGTACCACTTTACAAAGTATATAAATATATACTATATATAAGGTATTCATCGAATAAATGCGTACAAAATAAAAAGTTATTATTATCTTGTTACCACAAGTCTCTACAGATGCTTCAGTGCTTTCGACTGATTTGAATTATCAAAGTGGCAGAAAACAACAATAACTCTATTACAACAACAAAAACGCTAATTTTATATTTAGTTCTAGTGGACGAGCACTCATTAACAATAAAGTTGATTGCGATGTTGCGATATCCATTATACGGGTGGTAATTAGATTTAACCAAATGCGGGTTCGCCATTAATGGTAAATGTAAAAATTTACCAAGCGGATGCTTGCACCGATTGCCCACATTATTCGTTTACGTAATACTGAGCTAATACAAATGCGAGCGCTCACTTTTCTAACGACGCAGATATTGTTTTCAATAAATTATGGACGCAACAAACGCCAGATCCAAGCTGATACTGGAAGTGCCAAGCTGATACTGGAAGTAACAACTGATCTACGATAATAGAAAAGACATCTGTAACCACACACCCCGCACGTAACTCACCAACGGGAACATTTCCGTTATTAAAAAAGTACGAGACTTTGTCATCAGAGAAGTTAGTTTTTTTAATTAAAATTGTGAAATTGATATTGCTTTTGCGCTGGGACCCGCCTCCCAGCTCAACCTCGTGAAAGTTTAAATTAATTTTTGAATTAAGCCTAATAGCAGTGCTAAGAGATTTTTAAGAAAAGAGTTTTTAACAATTAATATATTATGGAATTGATGCCAGTACCAGCGTTGATTGCTTTAACGTCACCGAATGAAAAAGTGGTTATTTATTTAATAAATATTCTGACTATTTATCAAATTGAATTTAATTTTCACGATGCTGAATTTTTAAATAAACCTTTTCTTTCAACACACTAAACTACTTTTAAATGTAAATTATTAAAATATTATTTGTAGTGGTCACCCCAGCTAAGGCGCGCGGCGATGGGTGTGTGTTTCTTATATTTTAATCAGACTATTGCTTGTTTGTATTCGGCTCTCGGCCCGTCGTCGTCGTGCAGTCCAATACACATTTACGATCGCGACTGCTAGTGTTGTTCTTCTTACAATCGATCCTTATCGATAACAGATGTGATGTGAGCATACAAATCAATGCTTGTGTCCTCAAACTCTCTTATATACTTGAAAGTGGTATATAATTTGAAAAATCATCTGCTTAATTTACTGTGGGTTTTGTTTCTTTTGTATAACTTTTACTATGATTCTCATGACAATATTTAGCTGTGAATGCTAATATATGATTTAAATGATAAGAAATGCAAAATAAATACAACTCTATTATGAGTTAGTAAATGATATATCGAATCCCCAAACGACAATCAAACGTGTACAAAGCCGAGACAATCTACGTCATAAATTATTTTCTGAGAGAAAAGCTCGGGGCGAAACTTAAGCCTGACATAAGTGGGCAATAAACTTCAGCCAATTTGTAGATTCGCATCTGGAGGCTCTTATTAAAGCCCGAAAGTTAGTCCTTTTCATCCATCACTCGTAATACGTGTGTGAGTTATTGTATGAAAAATTGAAGAATAAATTGAGTCGCTGCAGCAGCGGCGAGACATAAATCCCAACTGAGCCCTCAATATTGTTTTAAAGGGGAAGTGGCCATAAATTTTATCAGGGCCGCCCAGAGCCGCGGGCCGGGCTCTTCCACGCCATGCCACGGTGCGCTGCCACTGCCGCATTGTGCGCCACCACTGTCCCCGCAATTTTCCGCCGCTGCATCCGTTGCTCATGCGTATTTGTTGTATTATTTCTGGTAAAATTGAAACCTTTCTACTGGAATGCGAATATCATGAAACTGCATTTTGGACTTGCCTTTAAACTAGTATTCAATAATTTACACTACAAAAACAGATTTACATAAATTATAATTCAAATTAAAACTATACTGGTTTTCGAAATCATTTACATTTATCGATACAAAACAATGGAGGTTATTAATATTGACTGCCGTAAATCGAATAATTTCAATATCTTAACGTTTATTATATAAATGCCTATAAATATAGTGTAAACTTTTTAAATCAGCGCTCTATCAATGTGGGGGACATTCGATTTTCCATCACGTCGCATAGCTTAATAGCTGTAACAACGTAAAATACGATTTTGATTACGATAAAGGCTTATGAAGTGTCGCAGAGACGTAGTGGAGGGTCGTACAGACGTCCATTCTGTAAGATGATGTTTTTCGTAATATGTTTATGTTTTTGAATTAATTATAGAAGCAATAATAAAATTAAAAATATATGTTTTTTCCTGTCTTTTTTTATTAAAAAGTTATGTTGGATAAAGGAAATCAAGCAACGTTTCTACTGTTCTTATGTGCCATCGTACATAAGATTGCCATAGAACAGTAGAAACGTGCGCTGTAGGACAATATTGTGAGGCACAATAAAAAATCGCTTATTTTTATCAATACGATCTGGGTGTCGGACATTTCGCATAAATGTGATATTGCAATATCGTTCGTCCCCTTTTTAATATCGCGACGGACTCTGCCGGCCGGTTTATGGCAACCCTTGCCGAGTTTTATTCGCGACCTGTTTGTCCTAATATTATGAAAAATTGACGTCAGCGAAACGAAAACGTCGGCTTGCTTATATATTTTTCTTTTTATGTAATTGCATTGTTGCGTACACAAAGTGGATTTTTTATTTTTGTTTATAGAATTTTCTATACTGTTTTATTGTATTTTCTATATATAATATCATAAAGATGCTATTAAGTAACATGCTGCTATTAAGAACTTAAGTTAACATCACATCTAATTCATGAAAGAAAGGATAAGCTTAAGATGTGATTTAAAAGTATATTTTTAATATTCTCAGTTAGTATGGATAACGTTCTTTTTGTTATTTTTTCATTTTTTACTTCAATAAGTATAAACGCGACATAAAGTGACTCTTCGAAAGAGCGTTCCATCTCAAATAATAAAGAAACTACATTGTTTTATTAAAATTTGCTTGTTTTTTTTCTTAATAACACTAATGCTAATAAATGAACAATAAGGTGCCACCAGATTAAGGAAAGGAACAGCCAACGAACATCAAATGTATATTCAATTACAAAACGTTATTCTAATACCTATAAGAACCAATCGCAACCAATTCGTTACCATGGATTTAGATTGGTCCCTATTATGTTTGCCGTTCGTTGGCCGTTAATTCAATCAATTTTCACGCAGCATAAGATAAAGAGAAAACGAGAATTAACATATCATATATAATGACAAATTTATGAAACGACTTTATAAAAAAGAACAATATAACAAGTTTATTTATTTTTTCTACTCAGTAAATGTATTTAACTTTTATACTTTAGTTTTTTGTGCTATATGTATATGTTTTTATTCAAAATCAAACGGAAATAGTCTCTTTGGTTTAATAACAGCTCGTTGTTTGGTAATAAAATTTTATAATATAAAGCCTTTTTACAAAAGATAATATACTCACTGTTATTATTTTCAGGTTTGTGCATGGCCGGCGGATCTCGAATCATGATGGCGAATTTGTCACTCGCGCATCACACCTGTATATTATCTGAAACAAAAATACATCACATAAACAACTATAAAATATTATTCTAAAGTTTCTGTCCTAAATTTATGTTTAGTTACAGCACAATGAAGATTTTCAATTCCGATATTTCAGCTGTTTTATTGTAAAAGAATTCGTTCTGGAAAGCAATAGCTTGGCGGACATGGGCTACGTCGTACGCGTCTAGCGAAACCTCATTAGAATAAACGATATCCTCTCCTTACGTCCACTCCGCGCGAGACCTTATTACTCCGACAAACTGCCGTCAAACGGCAACAACCCTCGCTTCAGTACGAGCTCAAACAATCCTTCCTACCACTAATATAGAGCTTATTTCACAAACTCAATGTCGCTTGGTTATTCAGCTACATAAGTCCCAACCTTATTTCAAAGTCTTAGAGTACAAAAGCAGTAGAATCGTGCTTCCTAACGCACTATCAGACAGCATCCCTTTAAGGTTGAGACGTCCATGTAGAGCTGTAAATTGAAACTTGACGAAGGCACTAACTAATAACCCTTATGATGATGCTTTATAAAATTTGTTTGACAAGATAATGAAATTTTATCAAACGTCATAATTATAGAATACTCTACGTCATTATACATTTATAAATTCTAAGTAAACAAGTACATACCAGGGTACAGTATAAGCAATTGATGTTATTATGAAATCAAAAACCATCTGATCAAACAAGCACTTAATTTCTGGGTTGGTGTGTCTTGTTGAATTCTAGTTTAACATTATTTTAAACTTATTATATTTATTATGGTAAAAATTGACAAGTCATTAGATTTAGTTATTACTTTTAAGTTGGTTATTACTTTTCAATTCTTACCCAATTATCACTCGTAGAACAAATAAAAGTACTTTACACAAATGTTTTTCAGAAAAGCTTTAGGTACTAGAGCATAAAGCAGTTACTTCAAATGAGCTAAAGAATTATTGAGTGTAGCCTTATAGTGAGGGCGAGAATAATATGCTAAACGGTACTCTATATCTTAAACGATAGCGTCTCTATTTCTTTATACTACAACACGTTTGCACATTCTCTTTAACAATACTTCAAATGGCAGTATACACATAGTACATTACGAAATGTTAGCATTAGTTTTAAGTCGCTTTAAATTTATGTCTACATGAACATATTTTTAGAATAAATATTTAACGACACATAAGAAATATTTGAAAGTGTTTTATGACCAATTTTATTGAGAACACTTTAGTCATAATTTATCAATAAATTAGATATTATAAGTAAGTAGGGAACATTTTCTGTGAAAATTTTATATCTGGTAATAAAATTGATTAGACATTTTGTAGATACATAGGTACTTTTAATTTTAACGATAAAACCTGTTTTCTTAAAGACGAATTAAATGAAACTTTAATGCAGCCAAATCGCATACACTTCGTTAGCGAAACGACCAACGAAGTTGTGTAAACTCATAAATAAAACGTCAAAGGTCAGAATAGATATATTTATAATCCAACTTAGTTCTTTGAGTTATTTGGTAGGGATTTATTGAGGCAGCTTTGCCACAAAGGCTGTAGTTCCTCTTTGCATAAGTCGAATGCCTACGAGGGTAACATTTTGCAAAACACTATAACAAAGATAATGTAATTATGATATTTGAACATGCAAAATAAGTAAGCAAAACGGCCTTTTAAAAAGACTTTCAATGCTTAGTAGCATTGACAGTCTTGATTTTCCAAGATGTGTAATGTAAAAAAGAAAAAATCATAATTAAATAATAAAATAGTAAAAAACAATACTTAATAGTAAGTTTTCACAATAAACATTTCATTTATTTGCTCTCGGCACGCACAGAAATTATTTGCAATTTTATTAACAAAACATTTAGGTACAATATGCCATCGAAAATAAAAATTACATATAAAATAAAAGCAGAATGCGCCATCAAACTCAAGTGGAATGAAAAAAAAATTTTATAACCACATCCAAATTCCCATCAGCACCTGTTACAAAGGCAGCTATCAAATTACCCGCGACATATCCGCGGCGGAGCGAGCGCGCCTCCATCCATAAATACGGTATTCGTTATGCATTTCTCATATTCATGAATCCGTTTTATTGGGGCCAATAAAATATGAACATCTCAGAATGGATATGAGAGAGCGGGCAAATCTAATATGGATTGCGCTGGATTCGGTCCGATTGGGTGGGCGGCAGCTGAGACGCGGCCGAGTTTCGCCGACTTGAAATAGAGACATTATCGCCGTTATAATTAACACGAATCGTTTTGTTGTCTGTTACAACACTTAAGACTGATGTTTAATACATGAATTGAAAATTAAGCGAGATTAGTAACTTTACAAGTATATCCGATACTTACCCAAGTAGAAAAAATTGATACTATTTATTACTGCGTTTTATAATAATATTGTAAACCTAAAATAGACTCTAGTTCTATTATTGATTTGTTCTATTATACAATCAAATCGCTTTGTTGAAAACTGTTATAGTACAACCAGTCACAATGGTTACTAAAGGCCTTAGTTATTTAAAATAATGTTACTTGGGTATACAGTAAACGTACGCAACACTAATAGGTAATCTTAAATATCAAGCTTATAGATATGTGACTTTCTATTATGCTACCTAAATCTGACATGAAATATCTCCGAACCCAAAGTCAAACTGAGAGACAACAATAAGGTCATTGTCTGCCTTCGCCCTATCGTACGAATTTAAAGGACCTTGTCACACTATAGCGTTCTCCTTTTCCTTGGGAGGTGTCAAAAATTCAACAGACTGCGGGGATAAGTGGAATGGATGGCGGTGTCTCGGTGCCGGATAAAATATTCTATGTCAAATCGTACGTCACTGGCTCTCAACTTGTTCTCGCCGAGAGTGCTTCGCGGAAGTCTCTTATTTATTCGCCTTCAAGTCATTCATAACGCACTCCTTTGTGCCCTTTCGATTTACAAGCTCCCACTTTGATGGTTTATTATAAGAGGAAAAGATATAACGTGGTTATAATAATTATATTATACCGTAATTAAATCCATTAGGGGCATAAATAAACAGACGAATCGAGCCTACGCTTAACCTCACATAATTAAATTTCCAATAATAAGGTTACCCGTTGTCCACAAATACGTAGCACAGAATTAACCAATCCCAACGCATTAAAACTAACTCGCGAGAAGAGAAATCCATTAAAGTCATTTCCAGTAATTTGGGGTATGCGGCGGAAAGCCATTTGGGCATTATTGAGGTAGGGCGGGTAGTGTCGAGTGGCAAACGGCAATAGGTAGGCTATCTCCATTATGACTACGTTATCACCGCGATCAATTAACCAGCATTAAGTAAAAACCAGCCCGCCACGAATTACAGGCTACCGATCAACGCGAACACGAAAGAAACTTGTGGATATTCTCAAGAAAAAATTGTAAAAGCACCTGTTATTTTATCAATTGAACCCTCCTAACGAATCAAAATAATTACAACTCATAAAACAAATTAGACAAAAGCGAAGTAATTTGATCCATTAGTGTCAAAGTAATCTGTTAGTCACTCCCTTCTGACTTCACACTGATCGAATTCATTATTCACCGGCAGAGAGCAATTAAAGCTCCACTAATCAATCTCAAACTTCAGGCAGAGCTGAACTCTAATCAAGAAAACTCCTATTCCGTGAAAGCTTTCCGAACAAAATTTAACTTAATTAAAAATGTAAATTAAATTCCTAGGCGCTTCCACAAGCATCACGTCGTCCCGCCCCGCGCCGAGCACTCGGGGCTTTTGATTGCAGCTAAAAGGTTTGGGATTAGTGCGCGAAAGAGCTTTCAGTGCATTTGTAGAGCTTTTAAGTGGGAAGCTTTCGCTTAAGACACTTACATACAATGTAAATTTTATGTGCCATCACCTTGAAAGTGTTTCATAGTATCGTTAATGGAGAAAACGTTAAGAGTTTCTTTTTATTTGATATCCCATTCTGTGATCCCGATCCCATTATCGTATTATGAGGAATCATCGGAATGTCAATTTGTGTTTGTTTTAGAGTAGAGAATATTTGTACGGAGTAGCGACGCGGCAGCGAGTGAAGGGGTTGCGGGGGTGGCGCTGGGGGCACTCTGACCAAGGAAGTTCGGTGTCCGGAAATAAACCGCCCGTAAAATTGTCAATTCCGAGGGAGCCGGTGCCTGAGTCCGACAATTTTGAACCGTCCGGCCGCCACTGTGCACAGCATGTTTAAGAATCAACACTTGTCAACACTAGCTTCAGGTTCCGGTAATTCTACATTAAACTTTGCAATTTACATTATAAAACGATGATAAAATATATATACAATATGACAATAATTATTTTTACGCATTCGACTTTATTGTATGTCAGTAAAATCGTATAGCAACTATCTGGGTAAGCGCCAAAACAATCACTGTTATTCACTACTTAGTTCTACGATGCTGTTGGTTCGCTTTACATCACATCTTTGTATTTTTCCTTTTACAAATAAATTGGAGTTCAGCGTTCAGAATGGCTATAGAGCTAAACTCGTTTACGGAGTCATGCAAAAGAAAATTGGGTCAGATATATCACGAGCCGCATACGCAGATAACACACGCATCGCCCATCCAATCACAAGGAGCACCGAGCAGAAAGCTTATTATCGAGACGCGTTCTTGCGTCACGTTGGGTAATGAGGAATGGTCAGTTCGGGTGGAGAGCGCGTACATCGACTGGACACTGTCATATTCGGACCGGTCGCCGAAGATGCACACGTGCAACGCTTAACGCTCGAACCCTCGCTTTTTGAACTGAGATCATTGCGACACTCATCCGTGAAATTGATTCTCGAGAAAAGAAAGACTAAAAGATAAATAAAAAGGAAATAGGAAAACACAAGCTAAGATTTGGCGTGAAATTGTTTTTCAGCACCCACCCACCGCCGTCGACGCGGCTACGGAGCGGCCCAACTCGGGAATTTCCCAATTAC